AAAGTCAAAAGCTTTCTGGAGAGATTGGAGTTCTTGCACTAATGTGGTTGGTCAGCAAAGGCTCAGACAGCATCAGAATGTTTTGAAATGGAGTAAGCCGAGACAGGGGTGGTTTAAGCTCAATGTCGACGCAGCTTTAGATGTTAATTCCGGCAATATGGGACTTGGCTGGGTTCTTCGTGACCATCACGGCATATTTGTTGCAGCAGCCAGCTATCCATGGAATGGTGTCTTCTCTCCCAAAGAAGCCGAAGCCTTAGCTATCCGGGAAGCTCTCAGTTGGACGAAGCTGCATAATATCCAATTCATTCATGTGGAATCTGACTCTTTATTGGTTGTTCAAGGGCTTTCATCTCTTTCTTTTGTCACCTCGTTTTACTTACTTCTAGCTGATATTAAAGATATGTTGAGCACTTTTGCTCATTGTTGTATCTCTTTTGTTAAACGTTCTGCGAATCGGACGGCCCATCTCCTAGCGAGGGAGTCCGTTTCTATGTCTGAACGTATGGAGTGGTTTTTCACCCCTCCTTCCTTCATATGTAATGCTCTGTCCTTTGATTTAATATAAGCTTGTTATGGTTTCAAAAAAAATAATAATAATAGGTTGATTGGGTCATCACAGTGCAGACTTCAAATTGGGCTTTTGACTTTCGAATCAAGGCCCATACACTGAAAAGCCCAAGCCCAGTGGCCGGAGACACAGAGGGGCAAAACAGTGAATTCATAATAGCTGGCAATTTCCCACCTGTACTCACTCACAACTGCGGCACTTTCAAAGCTTCCCAACGGCCTCCGTCGTCAAACTTCTTCAGCTTCGTTTTCATCGAAACCCTCTACACTCACATCTCACCGCATATATATAACAGCAAAGAGAGAGAAAGGGAGAGAGACCTAAGCTTTCACGCTCTCTTCGGCCTTGTCGATCCGCAGGTAAGTTTCCGGATAATCATTTTCCAAATGCTCCTTTGAAATGCTGCTTCGCTCAAAATGTGTATGCATTTGTAGAATAGAGGTGAATCCTTTTGTTTGTGTTTCAATAATCCGAACATTTTGTTCTACTTTGCCTTCTTTATCGGCTTGATTCAATGAATCGACCTCTCGCCAGGTGTTTATTTGTGATATGATTAGTTTTTAATTTTAGCAATTCTAGTCGGTGATTTCTGCAAGTGAGTTTGTATGGTTTGTTTTCTGCTGAAGAGTAGTTTCACAGTTAATGTTACTCTGGACTGCATCGTAGTTGTCGCGTTTGATTTATATTGTTGAGAAGTAGATGCTTGTTGAGCTTTTTGTTTTTTCAGGTGATTTTTTACGATCATTTCAAATGTACATGACACTATAAGCTCATTTCTGTAGTATATGCGTTGACAAAGTTATGTTGTATGAGCGTTTTGAGTTTGTTTTCTACTCTAATTTGCCATGATCTTGTTACATCTTGCAGTGCAGATTCCTCTTTACTCTGGTGAATTTAAGCTGCTTATAATGGCTGCAACTGCTACTCCTAGCCTGCAAATTGCAGCGGCGAAGCCCTGTGTTTCTGCATCTCGTAAAATTTTCAAGTCCAGCACTGCAAGTTTTGGTTTAGAAAATAGGGGCAGATCTGCAGCTGAGCTTAAGAGTTTGAGTGTTATCTCTGCAACAAAGCTATCTTCTCAAGGCTTTAGTTGCATTCCTTTAAAACATAGAAGGATGGTTACAAAGGCAATGTCCGGTGCAAGTGATAATGCCCCTTTGCCAGGGCTGCCAATTGACTTGAGAGGTTTTCTATTAGTCCATTTTTGTAATTTATGTGAAGTATCATCGTATGCTTTGTGAAGCCTTTTGTTATGTATTTATTGTTATCTTTGTCTGCCCTCCTATCCTCTTTGGAATTCTCCTCAGTTCTACCTCTAATTGGCCAAAGATTGAATAGATGCCTTAAGTTTGTTTATACAAATTGGCATAGTTCTAAAGAATTTTGAATTAGGAAGACTGCTAAAGAGAACTTTTTTCAATTTGTGACTAAAGGAAATAAACACTTTCCGTTTTTTCACATCTTCCAAATAAATGTGTCTTGCCTACACAGAAGAACAAAAGTATTCCTTTCTGTTGGCATGTTCTTTTTATGCTATTGTTTTATTTGCAGTAATTTTTTTCTATTCTCATGTACTAAAAATAGAACAGGTTTTAGATACCAGTTGAACAGCCATTGCATTTTTTTCATGCTTAAGAAATTTGTGATTTGTCAACCAATTTGCATTCAGTGACAGAGTTAACCACTGTCTGCAGGCAAGAGGGCATTTATTGCTGGTGTAGCTGATGATAATGGTTATGGATGGGCAATAGCAAAGTCCCTTGCAGCTGCAGGTGCTGAAATTCTTGTTGGTACATGGGTTCCTGTATGTATATCTACAACTCTGTATATAGCTGAAGTAATTTACTAGTTTGTTATAAGCCAAATATTTTTTCTTCTAACTTTATTCTTTATTCAGGCACTAAATATTTTTGAGAGCAGTCTGCGACGTGGGAAATTTGATGAGTCACGAGTGTAAGGACATGATTTTTCTTCTTCCTTATTATTGTTAATATATTTTTCTACTGAGTAACAATTCATATATCTATTCAGCTTGCCGGATAGTTAATATATTTTTCTACTGAGTAACAATTCATATATCTATTCAGCTTGCCTGATGGTTCACTGATGGAAATAAAAAAAGTGTACCCACTAGATGCGGTTTTCGACAGTCCTGAAGATGTTCCCGAAGATGTAAAACCGTCTCCTCATCTGATTCCTTATTAAACATGATTCAAAAATATCATAATCCAAACTTATATGTGGTATTATAATTCAGATAAAAGCCAACAAGCGTTATGCAGGCTCCTCAAATTGGACTGTTAAGGTATCATATTTTTGCTTTAAAAAACAAAACATAATTGTTCCATAATCTACTGTGTTTACATATTCTTTCTGTTTCTGGACTCTTTCTTGCTACATGTTCAAAGGTGGATTTTTGAAGGCCAAAATCATTTGTAGTTAAAGAACTTATATCTTGTTAAAATGATATCCTGTTATTCTGCCGTACTGGGTATACTCCATCTTCATTTTATTGAGATCAACTTTCAAATAAGGTCCACCATCTTAGTAATTACATAACTGTATGGTGCTATACTTATTTTTAGGAATAGGACTAAATGAACAAACCTTTTAACTGGTGGCTTTTGTGTTTCCTGTAGGAAGTTGTTGAAACTGTGAAACAGGATTTTGGCACAATTGACATTCTTGTGCATTCCCTTGCTAATGGTCCAGAGGTACACTTTTACTTTAATTTCAGTACTATTTGTATTCTTTTTCTGAATCCTGATAATGCCTGATAAATTTTTGTACACAGGTTACCAAACCACTTCTTGAAACTTCAAGATATGGATATCTTGCAGCATTATCCGCATCAAGCTATTCCTATATTTCTTTGCTTCAACATTTTCTTCGCATTATGAATCCAGGTAGACCTTTTTTAACTGTTATGTGAAATAAATCAGCTTATTCATAATTCAGAAAGTATACATGCATTTTGTGAAACTAGAGATTCTCTTTACCTTGCAGGCGGTGCTTCAATCTCCTTAACATACATTGCTTCTGAAAGGATAATTCCAGGGTAAACCTCCCTCAAAGTACTCAAACATTTCTTCAGTTTATCAGTATTTTATTATATTGCTCTCTGTAAATGCTGCAGATATGGAGGTGGCATGAGCTCAGCAAAATCTGCTTTAGAGAGTGACACTAGAGTAAGTCCTTTCCGAACCTCTTTTTACTGTCTGCATTTTGAAATATATGAACTTTAAATATGAGCATGGCTAAGAAGGAATTTTTAATTCTTGAAGGTCCTGGCTTTTGAAGCTGGAAGGAAGCACAAGGTCAGAGTAAACACAATTTCTGCAGGTACGATCCACCTACGCATTTGCTCTACTAGTTATAACTTTCATTTAAGATTAGTGAAGTGGAGTGGTATAGTGAACTTATTTAATGTACTTGGTGGTTAAATTTTTATGTATTGAACCCTTTGAATATACACAAAAATTCATGTTAGAAAGTGACAATGCATGTTTCTGTTTAATGGTCCAAACTGTGGTTGAGTATTAGTTTGACTGACCATTAATGTCTAGTTACTAAAAACTGTTTTGTTTCATTGCATCCCTCTAGAACTTTAAAGTGCCTCAGATCAATATATTTTGAATTAATTAGAGGAAAACTCTTTCAGGTCCACTTAGAAGTCGTGCTGCAAAAGCTATTGGCTTTATTGATATGATGATTGACTATTCAATTGAGAATGCTCCCTTGCAAAAGGAGTTGTCTGCAGGTGAGTAAAATCCCTAATGCCATGTTTCCTTCTTTGTGTCATTGGTTTTCAATATCCCAAGCTCTTTTTTCTGTATCATGTGCTGTGAGAAAATAGTGCACTTGTGTTTCAAAGCATAGTTGTTCTTTGCTTCCAAAAACTCAACTTTTTTTTGTATCGTTCATTCTAACAGAGGAGGTTGGGAATGCTGCTGCTTTCCTTGCATCACCTCTGGCTTCAGCCATCACGGGCGCTGTTGTGTATGTTGATAATGGGCTTAATGCAATGGGAGTGGGAGTTGACAGCCCAGTGTTTAAGGATCTTGACATCCCCAAAGACAAGAGCCATGAGACTGTTAAACAAGCTGTTTCTGTGTGAGTTCGTACAAATTTTGACGTCCAAAATAAGTAATGGCCTGTCAATTGCTTGTCAATTTCTATATGTAGGGTCCCTCAGAATAGGCCGTATGATTAAATTATTGTCTAGAGTAACACTTATTTGATAATGTTTGATGTTTTGGGAAGTATTGACATTTAACTGATTTGCTTTGTGTTACAAAGTCTCCATGACACAAGTTTTGTTTTGTGTTTATCTGCATTTATTTAATGATTTAAATATGCAATGTTATTGGCAACTTGAATTGTAAGAAATGACTATTATAAGGGCAAGTTTAAATCACTCGTGACTATATATTACCAAGAAAGTAACATCTATGATGTACCAAAAAACATTACACCTTCCTTAGAAATTCTAAAAGGATATACAAATCACAACGAAGTTAGTTTTCCTTGGAATTCCTAAATCACATTCTATGGAAGAATCAGATTCCTAGTTTCCGCTTCCCCTTACGAATCGCAGCCGCTCTTGCTCCTGAATCATCACCTTCGGGTGAATCTTCCACAACTGTCTGCTCCTGCAAAACCAGGCCTCGGTTCCTGGACAACTTCCTTATTGGGGTTGAAGGACCTCTTTCTGTTGTTTCTTCATTAGTCAATGCTGGTTGAAAATTATCCGGGACATCTTCATTTCTGTGAGGCATTAATTCCTCCCCAACCTCAACAGATGCCAACATTAGCTACAATTGCAGAAGCAGCATAATGTGAATAAAATTCTAAAGAGCAAGAGATAAGAATTCTAGCAAAGTTTGATATGGGCAATAGAAAAGATGCTTTAAGTAGAAGTAGTTTCAAAAGTACCTTCCAATCATTAAAGTCAAATCTGAAAACAAAATGTTTGTAAGAAACTTCTCCAGAAAGAACTGCATTGGCAGAAGGGGCGTTCCTTGGTCCTGGAATAAAGATTGTTCAGTCAAAAGAGAAACAGAGCAAGAGAAGTTGGAGATTAAGCTTAGCAAAAACATACCCACTGTGTGAACGCCCTTATCATCAACAGTTATTTGAGCCCTACCATCTTTGGCTAGAAAAGATAGAGCAAATAGATTCTCAACTGTTTGTGCAAATGATCTTCTATTCAGCAGCAAAGCTTCAAGTCTGACCCTCCGGTGCTTCCTTAAGATTTGGAACATTGTTGCCATATTTTTGTCTGTGTCTGTGTTCTTTTCAGCTTCACTTTCTGGAAGCTACAGAAAGAAAAAACATGTTCATTAGAAATGATAACACACCAATACTTAGCAGAACAATATAATCATGTTATTTTGCAAAAATGGGGAACACCAAATAAGAGCGAGGTAGGGGTTACAAATGCAAGTGAGCCTCCATTTTTGGTAAGGGAATGCATTGAGCATATTCATGCATATAATGGTGTGTATTATACTACATTGAGTGTCGCACATTATATAATACATATGCAATTAACAAGTCAAATTTCATATATTACAGCAGGGTGCAAATCACATTTCATATAGTATTACTAAAACCAAAAACCATTTACCTGTTGCTTCATGCAGTTTCTTTATAAAGGCAAGTGTTATTATAGATTAAAAGAAATGAGCAAATTAACAGAGAACTCTAACCTCTTCTGGACGTTCATTTCCTGTTGGCCTTACACGCTTTCTCTGCACCACAGGCTTCCGTGGCTTAACTTCACAAGTCATAGGCCCGGTCCTAAAAGAAAACAAAATTAAATTTTCTCTTAAAGGAAATCTTAAACAAAAAGACAAATGAAAGAGACCCCAATTAATACTAACATTGTGCAACATCCAGGAGCACTCTTGAAAACATTGGAGACAGCAAACCCAACCTCCTCCCAGCAAATAGAATTCTGACTCGCATCTGTGCTGGAACTAATGCCTACTTGATCACCAAACTCTCTAAGCAAACAACTAAGAAAATCTGTAGGAGTCACTCCTTCATTGCTATGCGCCTTAACAGAAGTCACCAAAGTGTTTGTGATGTCCAACAAGGCTTCTGCATCTGCAACTTGTTCTCGGGGGTTTTGAACTGTATATCAATCAATTATGATAAGCACTAAGAAATAACAGTCACTCAAGGGAAAAAGAGAACAATAGCAGTAAATGTTGCAAGTAAAACTATAATGATACCTTTCTCATGCAGCCTTTCAACTTCTTCAAATATTGATGTAAACTTATCTGAATCAGCCTTGGACAGATCATCCTTTTCATCTGCAGAACGCAATCACAATATTTTTGGTTATCAGCCAAAAATCACAAACCACATATCCGCCGCAAGTGAAATCAAGTAATGAGAAAATCAACTTCATATTTCAGTGCAACGAAGAGCAAGTAAATAAACTATTTACTTAAAACTTATTCAGTAAGTAATTTAAAAAACAAATCCGATCCTCACCAACATTTACTATGGGAGTACACGCATCGTCATGAAAAAGCTGTTAGATAAACTATTAAATTCCTGTACAAAGCTTAATTCAAAGTAGTAGAAAACAAGGAAATTACCACAAATCCGAGACTTAACGTTGAGGTATCGAGATCGAAGAAATCTGCGGTCGAGAACGTCTTCTTCACTGGAACTGTCATTGTTACTGTTACCGTTGCTACTCTCTGCTACACCGTTTCCTCCACTTCGTGTACTTACCGCTTCACGCTTCGCTGCTCGCACCATAGTTAACAACAATCAGCAAACCTCCGAAAGAGGAAGGACACTTTGCTTAATCTATGTTCCAGGAATCTAGATCATGCATATATTTGGAATTTTAGATTAGAAGAAGAGGATACGCACATATCACGCATACGTTAATATACGGAGATAGAAATTGAAGAAGAAGAAGTAAATAAGTACAGAATTGAAAAGATGAATTGATAATTTATGGAGAAAAGAAGGGGGGAAAAAGCCCTAGAATTTGAAAGGTTTGTGAAAAGTTGAAAGAAAAATTTGTGCGCGCTCTCTTAACCCTCGCCTCTCCTTTCGCACCTGAGCCCGCTCATAGGTGAACCCGCGTTCTTGACTTCTTTCCATTTTTACGTTTAGGCGCCTATGGTAATTTTATAGATTTCTATTTCTATTCTCAAATTTTATTTTATTTTGGATGCGGCGCTATTTTTTATGCGAGACATAATATAAGTATTTATATCAAGATTTTGTATATGAGAGTAGAATTTGAAAGTAAAAATAAAAATAATATTTTTTAATTTCATATTACTTTATTTGGTTCAATTACTTAGTAACGTTATATTACTCCAAAATTAATATGGTAGAAGTGTTTCAAAGTAATATAATTATCTTTATTACGCTTAAATATATTAAGTTTGTAATTGTTAATGTTTATATTATATTATATAATAATAATAATTATAATAATAACAACAACAATAATAATAAAATAAAACTATGATTATATAATTAAATATACACGTGTTATATATATATATATATATATATATATATATATATATATATATATATATATTTGCGCATTGACATTTATTTATTTATGTATAATTATGTATACTTATAAATTATATACATATAAATAAATAAATGTTGCATGGGGCTTACCAGGACTATGTGGTCTAATGGTATCCGGGTTGGACTTCCATTTGGAAGGTTGTAAGTTCGAGCCTCAGTGGAGGCGTTATTAGCTCTTTGTGTTTCAGTAGGTTGAGAAAGTATATGAACAGATACTACAATGTAATAGAGCTAGTACCATTCAAAAAAAAAAATGTTGCATGGGGCTTAACGTTGTTAGTTCGTCTTTTGACTTAAAAGTTATAACTAGACTAGAGATGATAGTTTGGTCGGTGAATTAATTGCACGACTCGCGATTTTCCTTCACATTAGCTCCCCTTGTGCATACATAAAGACTAGAATATGACTGATAGACTAATTGCGCAACTCGCAATTTACCTCTGCAATGACTCTGGGGACAAAATTTTGTGAGCTTAAGATTAATTCGACAAAGTTAGGATCACCAAACGTCCCCTAATATTCTTTTTCTAAATTTTAATTCCACATTTTCCGTGGGGTTAACTCTCGTACAATAACTTACAAAAACTATACAGAATAGATAAATAGCACTAGAAAAATGTGTTACGAGCTCGACCAAAAAGGTGTGACCAAAAATCGAGGGTCAACTTTTGACTCTTTTCCTTAATGAGTTGACAGATTTTCCAGTCGAGAGTTGTTACCATTTGGGAGTGGTTTCGGAAGTATACCCAAAACACTTGGGTGCATCGGTGAAGAAGATATATAAAGTTCGGAGTAATACTACACATACTTTCATCAATTTCTCGAATCTTAGGATCGGACAGAGGGAGAGTGACATATTTCTGTTGAATGGAATAACTAATTTTTTTTCCAAATGTTATGCGCCCAGAGAAATATGACTGAACCGCCCAAAAAAATTGCAACCACAAATTTTCCCACTAACAAGGAAAAAAAAAAACTACTGAACCTAAGTGCTATTTATATATATATATATAATCATTAATCAATACCCTAATTCCTACGTTGCATTCTGTACTCTTTACTCAGTCTATCTCTCCAGCCTCATTCATCTTCTTTGACCTGACCATCTTCTCCATTGATGCAAACTGTTAGCAGGGTACACAGTTAACGGCTACCATCGTACAAAAACAGAGCTCATACCTGCTGGAACCATGCACCCCTGAGAGGGCGATAGCCATTCGTCGTCTGAGCGGCTGTCTGGGAGGGAGGGAGCAGTCGATGTCTCTCCAAAACTGAGAGCAACTCTCAACATTAGACTCTGTCAAATGACATTTGGGAAATACAAGGTTTCTACGCTAACCAATATCCGTAAATTCTGGGAAAGTTGAACAATCGTCTAGTCCGGATAATAAGCCAGGAATGTAATCGTGGGCCACGGAATCTATATGCTCCACTTTAAATTCCCCGTTCGTGTTGAACAGAGAGCTGGTTTCAAAGCCGTGTTGGAGACCGGCTTCTTCGAGGCTGGATGAGGTGTCCATGGTTGCGATGGGGTCGTTGGAAAATGGTGTTGGTTGGAATATTTGTTCGGTGGGTGGACACAAATCACTATGCTCGACTAGAACCTTTCTCGACCTTGATTTGGAAGCCTTTGCTGAATCAGGAGCGAGTTTTTGCTTTCCTTGAGATTGCGGTTTTGCTGGCGTTTTACACCTTGGCTCCCCAGGAGGCAATGTAATTGATGGCCAATCCAAACAAGCTTCAAAGCTAGTATTTGATGCATCCCTGAAGAAAAAAAGAGTAAACTAGTTACATGTGTTCTTTTCTTTAATCAGACAAGAAAACAGAAAAACCTAAAACTATTGTTCTACAGATATCGACAAAGAATAATTCCAAAATTAGGCAAAACCGTTCAAACAGTTGACATATCAAATCAAATACTCTGTAATAGAAAAGAATGATGCCCGGCTCCAAGGATATGTACCTGAATCGGCTTTCAGCTACATATTGAGAAGATTTCAAGTGAATATGTTCAGGTGTTCGCATTTTTAAAGATGGTGGGGAATCAGGATCAAGTATTTTAAGACGCACAAGAGGTGGCAAAGAAATGTCATTATCATCTTTTGCTGCCTGAAGTTCAAGAGTAATATCCAACCCCTCTGCAGGAACAGGGGCTTCCTCCCGCTGTTTAGAGATAGAGACTGTATTATCAGTCTGTGCACCAGAGTTCTCGGAAAGTGCAGCTCCTACTAACTTGTTACATTGACTTAGGTTAGTAAATGCCAATTTTCCCTGTGGTGGTCTAATGGAATTTTGAGAGAAATGATTGGCAGTTGATGTCAACAGCAAAGGGTTGAAACCACTTTGTGAAGATGATCGCCTGCATGAATCATTTTTCCTGGACCTCCAGACAGAAGATAGAAGGGCAAAAAAATGCTTTTGAATAAGGGGTTCACGATCTGGCAGCTCCAAGGCAACATCTAACAATGTTTGGATGTTTTCCTGTATCAAGATAGCAATAGTTAGCTGGATCTGGAAATGAAAAAATGGCAATCACATAATTTCATCAACGGCAGAATAATATGCCCAGTCATTCAAAACTCAGAAATGTGCACAAGGAAATGTTTGACAGAAATGGATCTCTGTTGCCACAATCATTTTGTTCTGCAAAAAATACACTACACATAGGTCAAATAAAAAGGGCAACATAAAGCACCGATGCAAGAGCACCTGGCCAAAAAACAACTATCCACTGTGTCCAGGCTCCCTACATTTTGGTCAAATTAAGGCCATATAAACACAACAGACTCAATTTTTTTAAGGCTGTTATAAACAACTATGTCAACACTTCTCAAAGAAGCAGTGAAATTACATTACAACACATCTCCCAAACGTTGAAAGTCACAATTAAGAGATTGGCATATATGGGCAGTGCAAGCATCACATAAAGAGAGAAAACAAAGGAGCTACCTAGTTTATAAAGATGAGATTATACAAGTCCATATGCTTACCTCAGTTACCTTCAGAAGACCCTTTCCAGAGCTTATATTGTTGACTCTCTCACTGTTTATAACATCAGAGGCAGAAAAGACATATCTCTGTATGAGTTCCCTAAACCTTTCACTACAATGCACAGGATGGCGAAATCTGCCCCTGTACAATCCTCCACCGGTGATTCCATACAAGATATCACTAACCAGCCTCCAGTGAGGGCCATATTCATAGACAGCTGCACACAATATAGCATCTTCTTGTGGCAACCATTGATCAGCTGAAGGGAAGTAATCTTTAGACGACAGGTTGCCTTTCTTTTTCAACTTCTCTGGTTTTAGAGTAAAAATGCGCTTTACAGGCATCATAGTAATTGATACTCTCCCTCCCATCTTGCTCTTGTTTAATGGCTTAAGTTCAGGATCAATTGTGCTCCGCTCACGGTGTTTTAAATCGATAGATTCATCCTGCTGCATACCAGGTAATGACAAATCTAGAGATAAAGGAGACACCTCCGAAGCCTTCTTGATTTTTTTTGACTTCTTCATTTGTTTAGACTCCTCATCATCTGGTGCTTGTTTACGCTTTCTAAATTGAGCTGAATGTGGAGACACAAAATCTGGGGTGGTAACATCCTCTTGGCATATAATCTCATCATCTGTAGACATCAAGTCAATTGGTGACTCTTCTTTCATAGATTTTGTTTCAGAACCTAGGCCTCCTTTCTTCAAAGATTTGAACTTCGTTTTCTTTGTTTTCTTCTTTGACTTGGGCTTAGAAGAAGCTGCAACATCATTCCTGTCAAACACATAGGACGAAGATGTGAGACTTGATCTGTGAATGCATGTACTAAAAGTGATTTCACTAAAAATCATGATCAGTTAGATAGTATAAATCGGCTAGTATACCGTATGCATATCAGAGTAAACACTGGAGCAGCATTGCCCAAGTTAGCGACCAACATCAGGAATGGTAGATGATTCAGTAACATTTGTGGTGAATTAAGAAAGAATGAGTTTATGAAAACAACAAAATTATGATGCTGATGAAGTTGTACAGCTACTCACAGTACTTTTTTTTAATAGGTATTACCAGCGCTACTTGGTAAAAGAAGAAAGAAAAAGTCAAGGTGAAGAACCAATGGAAGACCAGCCCTTCAAAAATCCAAACAAGCTCTGCAGAAAGGGGGAAAACAAACCAAGGGATACAACAGAACAGTCTTCAAATCCATTCACTTTTTGTGTGAGGGTGAGGAAAGCAACTGTGAAGGGCAAGAGTGCAGAGAAAAAGGATTTTAGCCAGAAAAATTCCTATTCTTCTTGCAGCCTTGCTGGTGTTAGGATGACTATTTTCTCATCCAATTAGAAAGTGCTTACAAGTGATAATTCATCACACATAGTATTCACACAAAAGGCTGTCTCTCAGGAAACCCATGCAAACAAAAAAAAAAAAAAAAAAAAAAAAAAAAAAAAAAAAAAAGTAAAATGGGTTTTTTTCCAATCAGCTTTACACCCACTAAAATTAAAGCCAGGGCA